AAGGTGCTAATCTATTAGTTATATTGACTATTAGATATATATATATAAATATATGAATAAATTGTCCATTTTTCTTTGGACGTGGGAAAAAAAAGGATTTCCAAAGCTTAAGGTGCTAATCTATTAGTTATATTGACTATTAGATGCATATATATATAAATATAAATATATGAATAAATTGTCCATTTTTCTTTGGGGGTGGGAAAAAAAAGGGACTTCCAAAGCTTAAGATGCCATTTTCGGGCACCACGTCCAGATGGCCCAGCAGGGGACAACTCTGAGTTCTCTCACTCACTCACACACCCACACAAACAGCAACAGAGACACAACCACACACACACACACACCCCAACCCTATTTGCAAGAGGCATTTGGGAGCCAAAATCCCCCGCCGGGCGCCTGGCTTGACTCGGAGGGCAGAACCGGGCAGCGTGCCATAAATATTACATTTCCTTCCCCAACCTGCCATGAATATTGCAAACGTCTCTCTGTTTATAACTCCGGCTGGACGGCAGGACGTTTCGAGAAGTGTTGGGTTACATCCTTTCTAATAAGGGCGGATGCATTATTCATCTCTTGCAAACAAAATAAAGAAATAAAAACAGAAAAGCCCCCGCCAGCCGTCGAGACGTTCAAAACGAAATGGGCAAAACTTCCGAAATGATCAGAAGGAAAAATAACAGGATAAGAAGAGTTGGAAGGGACCTCGGAGGTCTTCTAGTCCAGCCCCCTGCTCGATGCAGGAGATCTTAGGCCATCCTGCTCAAACGGTCGCCTTTTCTTGAAAGCCTCCAGTGATGGAGCTCCCTCAATTTCTGGAAGGGAGCTGACCTTTCCCTCCCTCCCTCCCTCGTTCTCTCTCTCCCTCCATTGATCATTCATTCATCTATGCATGCATCCATCCATTCCTCCCTCCATCTGTCATGTCCGTCTGTCCACCCATCCATCCATCTATGTTTCTATCTATCTATATATCTATCTTATCTATCTTTAAATTTAATAAAATATCTGTCCATACATCTACCTCTGTATCTGTCTCTGTATCTTATCTATCCATCCATCCATCCATCTTTAAATTTAATAAAATTTCTATCTTATCCATCCATTCATCCATCTCTATATCGTATCTATCCACCCGTCCATCCAGCTATCTTTAAATTTTAATAAAATTTCAATAAAATATCTGTCCATCCTTCTATCCATCCATCCATCTTTAAATTCAATAAAATTTCTATCTTATCCTCCATCCATCTATCTCTATATCTTATCTATCCATCCATCTGTCCCATCTTTAAATTTAATGAAATATCTGTCCTGTCTGTCTATCTATCTATCTATTATCTAACTAATCTATCTATTATCTATCTATCTATCTATCTATCTATCTATCTATTATCTATCTAATCTATCTATTATCTATCTATATCTAAAGTATCTATCCATCTATCTATCCATCCATCCATCCATCCATCCATCTATCTCTCTCTCTCTCTCTCTCTCTCTCACTATCTCAGAAGAACAGAGTTGGAAGGGACCTTGGAGGTCTTCTAGTCCAACCCCTTGCTCAAGCTGGACACCCATTTCAGACAAGGGGCTGTCCACTCTCTTCTTGAAAAGCTGCAACTTGTTTGCTTACGAAGTCCTGATCTGGATTTTATTTCTTTTTTTTCTTTTCTTTTTTTGAAGGGAGCTTCTCAAATGATTTTTTTCAAAACTCTTGAAGAGGAGCAAAGGGGGGGGGTTGTTCTTTAAAATTATGGGATTTGACTGTGGTCATAAGTCGAGGACTTTCTGTATTTCCCCCCCCCCCCCATTCCTCAAATCC